TTAGGCTTCTGAGTTTTGTGATTCACTTCAGCTTTGTGAAATTAACTTAAAACTGACGTTAAAGTGATTGATGAAGTAATTCTAGTGGTAGGAGAGCTGGCTTTAGGTGCTTATTTAATAATAGCATACTGTTTAATAATCTCACTCCTTTTTCTGTATTAAATTACTTGTTGGTAAGTTTAATGTATAATTGTATTGAGTGATGTAAGTTTTTCTGTTGCTTTACAGGCTGCATTTGTCAGGGATGTTTTATTACCAGGAGAGTGGGATGTGTGTGTCACATCTTATGAAATGCTCATTAAAGAGAAGTCTGTGTTCAAAAAGTTTAACTGGAGATACTTAGTTATAGATGAAGCTCACAGGATAAAAAATGAAAAATCTAAGGTAATTTGATACTTAATCTGAACATTTTTGTGTCTAAGGGTTTGATTCGGAATGTTCTAACAATGGGCTTTGATTCTTTCAGTTGTCAGAAATAGTGAGGGAATTCAAGACTACAAATCGACTGTTGCTAACTGGGACGCCTCTTCAGAACAACTTGCACGAGCTCTGGTCACTTCTAAATTTTCTCTTACCAGACGTGTTTAATTCAGCTGATGTAAGCATCTCTTTGTGGTTAATAATATTTTGGTTAATGCCTTATAATTTAATAATAGCACTGTTTGAGGTGGTCATTAATTTTTTTACACTGGCCTGTTACTAACTTACTAAGTTGGTCATGTATTCAGAATTCACTTTTGAGCCTTGACTTTAATCTCATTTCCCATCAGTTTCTACAATTGGAATGGCATATTCTTACTCCTGTTTGGCAATCAGGGCTGCTTAATTTTACCTCAGAGTTTTTAGGTTAACTGCTTCTTTTCAAAGCATTCCCAAGTAGCTTTGTATATCCCACACATTGTGTTTCATCATTCAAGAAATGTCCTTCAGATGTGAAGGGATCGTTTAACCCTCTGCCATGGTTTCTCTTCCAGTTGCTGTGATAAAATACTCTGACAGAGACAAGGGAGGAAGAGTTTGTTCTGGCCCACAGTTCAGGATATATACTGTTAAGGTTGAGGGTGCTGGCAGTAGCTGATCACACATCATTCATATTCAGAGAACAGTGTGATAAATGTGTCCTGGTTTCTGCTCCTCTTCTCCGTTCTGAACAGCCCAGGATCCCAGCCCAGGAATAGTCACATGGTTGGATAGAGCTTCCTACACTCATTGACGTACTTGCGATAGTCCCCTGTAGTCGTCTGGGAGGCCCGTTGCTGGGCTAGTTCTAGACTGTCAAGTTGACAATGGAGAGTAAGCATCGCTCATGTTTTTCGTTGTGGTACAATAACTTAGTCTTCATGTCCATCAGTTATTTACATAACAGAATGATGTTAGAAGTGGCTAACTGTTCATTGTACTAGGGAAAATAATTTATGTATCAGCAGTCTGTGCTGTTAGTAATTACAGTTGCTAAACCAGTGTTCAATTCTGAACGATTGTTCCTATGTCTGGAATGGGTGGGGAGAGCTTTGTAGACATCCATGTTAATACATTTATATAAATAAGTTATATAAAGGTTTTAATTTTGATTTATATTAAGGGTTATTTTAAAAACAGGAATTTGGATTTTTGTTTGTTTTTTGATTTTTCGAGACAGGGTTTCTCTGTGTAGCTTTGACGCATGTCCTGGAACTTTCTCTATAGACCAGGCTGGCCTCAGACTCACAGAGATCATCCTGCCTCTGCCTCCCAAATGCTCTGATTAAAGGCATGTGCCACCACTGCCCAGCTCAGATTTGAAAGTTTTAATTACTAATATTTTGATGTTTCTGAGACAATTTTAAGATAATTTGTTTTTCTTGCTAGGTTAACTTTATTTCTGCTAAAGCCCTCAGTTATAACAGAGATTATAGCGTGTTTGCTTAATATGGCAAATTATAATAGACATTTTCAAGATATTTGATAAGAAAATTGTCCTTATTCAGATCTTATCTAAATAGTAATGAAATGCTTTTAATGTCAGTTTCACTTTGATTAATCAATAAGATGGGCATTTCTCAGAAACCTTGAGTTGTGTATTAATTATTTCTGTAAAGTAGCTCTCAGACTCTGCATTGTCAGTCAGTCTATATTTGCGGAAAAATGCTTAAGAAATAATAGGATTCGGCCCCTTGTCCTGGTGCTAGTAGTAAACATGATACTTGGAAAACAATGGCTTGAACTAAATTATTTGTGTGTGTGTGGCTCAAAACTCACATACCATACTAATTCTAGAAATCATTTTACATCTGTTGCTTTAGGGCATTTGTGGTTAATACTGTTTTTGACCTTAAGATGTATTTCGTTTGTTGATCTAGGACTTTGATTCCTGGTTCGATACAAATAATTGCCTTGGGGATCAAAAGCTTGTTGAGAGGCTTCATATGGTATGTATGGCTAGAGCATATTTTTCAATGGTGAAAAAATATGTAAATCACTTATTTTACTGCTTACAGGAGTATAATACAGAATTATTTGAATTTAAAATTTACTGTTTGAAATGACATTAGGGAGAT